GTTTTCTATGTATCGGTAAGGACTTTTATGACTTTGCTTCTAAATTCTACGAACCACCTAGTAACAGTTTCTCTGACTTTCAAGTTTGGTTCACAACAAATGGTGTGCAGCATATAATACCATTGTACTATGACTTTTATCTCGAATTGTCTTTCATATACAACTACGGAAAAGTGCTGAAAAAGTATTGAAAAATATATTTTAGGGTAGATGGTTTTTAGGTGTCACCAGGTCACTCGGTCACTCGGTCATTTTAACTTCTCTGAAAAAATGAGACAACATGACATTTAGACAACAACACAGGAAATAAACTTCATCGTATATGTTTTGTCAAACATGAGCGTAAAAGACCCAAAAATATATTTTAGGTGAGATGGTTGGATCTCAGAACTAGTCTTGCACTGTTTCAGAACAATACTTGTACTTTTTCAGAACAAGACTTGTACTTTTTCAGAACAAGACTTGTACTTTTTCAGAACAAATTTCCCGTAAAAGCTCTCAATTTGTGAGAAAAATTTTCTGTTTCAGAACAATATTTGTACTTTTTCAGAACAAGACTTGTACTTTTTCAGAACAATACTTGTACTTTTTCAGAACAATATTTGTACTGTTTCAGAACAATATTTGCACTGTTTCAAGACAATATTTGTACTGTTTCAAGACAATATTTGTACTGTTTCAAGACAATGTCCGACGTACCACCAAAAAATAAAAAGTTAGTTTTTTAAAAAAAATATTTTTTATTTTTATTGTAAGAACTGAAATGACAGTCGAAGCAAAAACGTTCACGAACAAATCTAATGGCGAAACATTCACAAAAGGCACCTATAACGGTATTGAAGTCTTACGTAGAGACAAGGATGGTTATATAAATGTAACAAATATGTGTCAGCAGTTTAGGAAAGACTTTAGAAAGTTGTTGGAAAATAAGTCCTGGGAAGAGTATTATAAGGCATTTTGTGAAGAATATACCAACCGCCGGAATTCCGGCGGTTGCTTTTTATACAAAATTCATGCAGGAATTCCTGATGAAATCAAACAGGTTAGAGGAACGTATGTAGACCCAAGACTTGTAAACTATATAGCAATGTGGGCTTCTCCAAAATATTGTATAGCAGTTGGAAAAATTATGGACTCCATAGACAAGAAAGTTCATGAGAAATTAGATGAAGAAGAACTTGAAGATACAGTAGAGAATGCAAAACCTTTGTTCGAACAAGAAGTTAGAAAAATGTGCGAAAAACAAATAGAACATGAACGTGAGATATGTTATGGTTATAGAGACTCTCCATACGAACTAGACCAATGGGAACAAGAAGATTTAAAGAGAGAATTTAGAGAATATGAACTCGCTAAAATTTCATTAGAAGCTGCAGAAAAGAAGTTAAAAGTTTGGGGTCGTTTTGTACAAAAATATTGTGAGTAAATGAACCATTTATTTTTATTGAATTCGGCAAAAATATATTTTAGGTGTCACCAGGTCACTCGGTCACTCGGTCAACTAACATCTTTTTGAAAATGGTGACAACATGACATTTTGACAACAACACAGGAAATAGACTTCTTCGTATATGTTTTGTCAAGACTTCTTCGTATATGTTTTGTCATGACTTCTTCATCGTAAATGTTTTGTCAAGACTTCTTCGTATATGTTTTGTCATGACTTCTTCTTCGTATTCTTTCACCCGTTGAATTTTGTATAAAAAGCAACCGCCGGAATTCCGGCGGTTGGTATATTCTTCACAAAATGCTTGTTTTGAGGTCGAGCCACTTTTGGCTCCACCTGTTTTTTCAACCAAAACTCTTGAATTTTGTGCTGAAATAAAAAAAGTTAGTTTTTTAAAAAAAATATTTTTTATTTTTATTGTAAGAACATGTTAGCAACAACTTTACCAAACTCGTTAGTCATGAACCCAACTTCAATGTTAGTAGAGATGAAAAGCTTCATTCCTTCTTCATATACTTTCGAAACAGAAATCCAGAAGATAAAGCAGGAACTTCTCCAAGGAGATTTAGATTGCACTGCAAAAGATGAAACAAATGAACAGTATCTTTATGAAATGCAGGACCTGGTGGAACATCTACCTAAACTTCCTGAAATACAACAACAAAAGCTTACTATTCCTGAATTCGATGAAATAGAAGTCAAAGCAACCGACTCAGTAGAAATAAAGAAGTTCATACGTAAGGTTAACTATGAGTTTCTTGGATTTCATTGCAACCACAAAGTCATGGACATATATGAATCTGAAGAATTTAAGACCTACGACAACTTTGTTTCGTTAGTTGCAAAATGTGTATGGCAGATAAGAGATAAAGATAGAAGAGGTAAAGTATGGAATGGACAAATAAAACCAGCAGCCTTTGAGTTAAAGAAAACCATTTACGCCTTAGTTGTTTTAGCAGGACAAATTTCAATGTACAATGCTAAAATGAACCCACAATGTTCAAAATGTAAAGCAGCAATGAGGAAATATAACTACTCCGTCAAAGAGATAGAACGTATGCGAAACGACTATGCTGACTTAAAGAAAGAAGCAGAGAAACCAGCAGAAGATAAAATGGACATGTTGACATTTCTGAACAAAAACTATCCAACAGCTGACGATTTCCTTCTATCTGATGTCAAGAAGAAATATAAAGAAACCTTCGGCATAGTTAAAACTTTTGATCTCCTTCGTGAAGAAATAGAAGCCACAAAACTGTTTAAAGTCATGAACCATCACAACATATACCATGTAAAACGCTTGTAAAACATATACGATGAAGTTTATTTCCTGGACTGTTGTCAAAATGTCATGTTGTCACCATTTTCAAAAAGATGTTAGTTGACCGAGGGACCGAGTGACCTGGTGACACCTAAAAACCATCTTCACCTAAAATATATTTTTGCCGAAAAAAATGACCAAATTTCATGAATTTCCTCATATGCTTGCTACCCTCGAAAAACCAAGGATAGAGATTCCATTCGAAAATCGTGAAAAATTGCGAGTAGTAAAAAAACCCAGTCGCCAAAAAAATCCCTGAAATCGTGAAAAAATGACCAAATTTCATGATATAACTGTATTTTTTTTACCAAGTGAACTTTGACACTTCGTCAAAAAAATCCCTGAAATCATATCTTTTATACAAGATAGAAAAATAAAAGTTAGTTTTTTTAAAATATTTTTTTTTATTTTGTATGTAAAGACAGAAAATGACAAACACTGAGTTTGAAACAGTTAAAAAGATAGACAATGACACCAAAGTGGTTAGAATAGGTGATTTAAACGTAAGATACTCAAAGAAATACAAGAAATATTCTTTGTCAGACATTTTATCTCCATCTGGAAAGAAACCACACGACTGGGTTAGAAATGCTTCAACTCAGAAAATTTTGACAAGAAATCCTGAGCTTATGATATCGGTAAGATTCTATGGAACTACAGCATATCTCATTGACAAAAGTCTTATACCAATAGTTTTGTTATGGATTGACCCAGTTGTTGGATATAACTTCATAACATATGGTTCATTCGATACGGAACGTTGCAGTGAGGGCTTACTTTACATCGTTCAGAAACCGAAGGACTTCAATACAAAGAGATATAAGATAGGAAGAACATATAATATAACTCAAAGATATGACAGTACAGTCAATAGAGTCAAGGTTGTGTTCGTTAACGATATGAGAGCTGCAGAAACAGAACTGCTTGAAAAGTTTGAGAAATTGTATGGTGCTCCCATGAAAGGTAAAGAAACGTTTGAAGTAGATGAGATAGAGAAAGCTATAAAATTATTTGACGAAGTTGCTGAAAAATACATGTAAAGCGTTTATTTTTGGTCTTTTGTGAAAGTCAGAAAATAACGCTAATTTTATTTTTATTTTATTTTTTATTTTGTATGTAAAGACAGATATGACAACAACAGAGAACACAACAACTGCTATCGTTCATGAAGCCATAAGTGAAGAATATGAGTGGGTTCAGTTAAACAAACAACTCCGTCTCATTCGTTCGGTCAAAGATGACATGTACCAAATGCAAAGTATTTTGACAGCATGTTTTGCACCCGACACTAAGAAACCACAAGACTGGTTTGAATTAAATAGCACTCATGAACTCCTCAGTGAGTTTGAACATGTAGAACTTAAAAAGATGTACCAAGACAGACAAAACTTACCATCACATCTAAAAGGTATATATGTTCATAAGTTCCTAGTTAGTTCAATAGCAATGTGGGCTTCACCTCGTTATGCAATCTACATACTTATGCTACTTGACGAACTTTGTACAAAGCAGAGAGAAGATATGATGAAAGAAGACAAAAACATACAGAAAAGAATACCACGTTCGGTACCAAAAGGAAAGGAAAAGAACTATAAGTATATGATTTATACTGAAGAGATGGAAAATGAAGAAGACAGAGATATGGTTATGTTGCATTTAGTCAGAAGAAACAACAAAAGCTTTTACGACCTTGCTAAGATTTACAAATCTGACAGAAATTGGTTCTATCGCGAAAACTTACCGATTTCAATGACACCGAATGAAGATGTGAAACAAATAGTTCAAGATACGTTACCTCAAACACACTATGATATTAAAGGTTGTACAATACTTACCTTCAAAGAAGATTTGCCGCTACTGAAAGAAAAAATAACAGAGTATTTTGACAACTTCAAACAAGCAGAGTAAATGAACCATTTATTTTTCAAGCTTGACTTCAGATGACTCAGGTAGCTCTATAAGGTAAATTGTCTTGTCAAATCCTTCTGGCATTCCGAGTCCTTCCTTCCGACAGGAAAAAAATTTCCCGACAACTGGAAAAAATTTTCCCGACAACTGGAAAAAATTTTCCTGTTGTTCGTCCGTAAACCATTCAAATTTTCGAAAATTGAGAACTTTTTGGTCAAACTTCAGAAAAAGTTTTTCCTTCCGACAGAAAAAAAATTTCCCGACAACTGGAAAATATTTTCCCGACAACTGGAAAAGTTTTTCCTTCCAACAGGACACAAACGGATGACTGACGTTCCTCTTCCTGAATGCCTTCCAAAGCCAGAAGAACCGACAGCCCCAGCACCACAACAGACTAAGACTAAAACACTTACATTTTTCAAGCTTGACTTTTTACAATTTGAACTTTGTTTGCGTAGATATGAATTCTGAAAGAAGTATGAGGGTCTTGTATGACTTTGTACTTCTCCCATAGTTCATGTCTGTCAAACTTACCTGCCATGGACTCTTTCATAAGTTCCATGAAATCGTCTTCGGACAATCCGGGGAAAAGTATAATATCAGTAAGTATTCTCTTTACATCCTTACCTAAACTTGTTATATACGAAAACGATAAAAACAGTTTGACAGAAAAGTGACAACTTTACGTGTCAAAAATATAAAAAGTGATATTTTATTCATCATTATCTTCTTCATAATTTATTTCATATTCTTCGTCTTACCAACAAAAGATGGGAATGTGAACAATTGCGGGCAATTTTTAGCCATTTTGGCTTGGAACTAGAGCCTGCGAGGTACATGGATAGTATCAGTACCTCACAGGCTCTAGTTCTCTATATGGCGCCGAGAAATTTTGGTGAAATGTGGTCGCATTTCACCAAAATTTTTTCGGCGCCATAGGATGAATTGGAGGGTGAGAGATATTATTTCATACAATACTACTCTCACCCTCCAATTCCCAGCCAAAATGGCTAAAAATTGCCCGCAATGTGAACAATTGCGGGCAATTTTTAGCCATTTTGGCTTGGAACTAGAGCCTGCGAGGTACATGGATAGTATCAGTACCTCACAGGCTCTAGTTCTCTATATGGCGCCGAGAAATTTTGGTGAAATGTGGTCGCATTTCACCAAAATTTTTTCGGCGCCATAGGATGAATTGGAGGGTGAGAGATATTATTTCATACAATACTACTCTCACCCTCAATTTTAATTACTTAAACTCATTCTATTTTTTTTGACATGTAAATGTCACTTTTACTGAGATCTGACACAATGTCAGATCTCTTTTTTTCGTATATAAGAAACTCTTGGCTGTCTGTACACAAATGACAACTGAAATGTTAAAGTGTCTGAGCTTCTTAAGAATTCGACACATGTCTTGTTCTCTATTCTTTAACAAAGGATGAGAAGCAAAGTCATCTAAGATAAGAAGACATCTGTGAGGGTAAGTCTTCCAATCGTAAGATTGCAATTTCTTCGAAATGTATTCTATCTCTTTCTGTTTGTTTCTGAAGTGTTTCTTCTCTAATATTCTCTGCATTTCCTCATTTGGGTCTTTAAACTTCGAATTGACATACTCATTTATAGCATTGTACTTCAAAACTCTTCTTTGGTACTTCTTTATCCAATCTAACAACTCAGAGTCTTTTATACATACTAACTTAGACTTTTTTATAATATCTTTGAACGAATTGACGGTTTGGTCAAATTGACCCGAAGTACTACAAATGACTACTAACTCATAGAATGGGTTCTTCTCATCTAGTTCTTGTTGTTGTGCAGCCATTTTAAGATAAGTGAAAGTCTTACCCGACCCAGGTGGTGCAATTAGACCTGTATACCATTCTGAGCAAATAAGAACTTGTCATGTATGGGTTTTATCTGAGCATTTTCCAACTTCCTCTTGTTCTTATTTAAAACATTCTCAAATTTTTTGTCAATGTCAGCAAACTTTTTTTCTAACATATTTTTAGAAAAATTAAAATTTTTATCTTTTAGAAAATGTCTAGCGATTTCGCTATCTATATTCGAGATAAACTTTTCGACAGCAAAACATCTGTCGACCATAAAATCTTACATAGTGTAAACAAGAAAGGTGAATTTGTTCTAAAGTTCTGTTTCTGGGAATATGACAAGAACCATAAAACATTAAGCAGAGCAGTCTTAAAATTTGTCAATGACAGACTTGTTGACAGAGATGACGCCTCTTGGAGAGATGAAGTCCAACAAAACTTCTTAGAATGCAAAGAAGACACATGCGCTGTTCTTGAAGATGAAATAGAAAACAGAATAGAAGAGCTATTAAAGGACAAAGAACTTTTACAAAAATATGGTTCTGAGAAGTTTGACATAACTCCACCAGAAAAGAAGAAGAGAGAAAAGAAAGAAAAGAAAGTAGAAGAAGAGAAGAAAGAACCTGAACCAGTTCCAGAGAAGAAGAAATTTGACATGTAAAAATAAAATTTTATTTTTAGAACATTTCTGGGTCAATGTCAATGTTCTCTTCCTCTTTAGGAGCAAACACCGGCTTAGACTCTAAAATCTTTTTACCCAATTTACCTTGAACTTCTACAACTTTAGACTCATAATATTCATAGTCGTCTGCTTTCTTTGGTTCATAAGGTATAACAAGTTTGTATGCTTTGCCTTCTTTAAGGTTTGAAAACCTTCTGTCAAAACTTTCTTTGACTGTTTAACAAACCTTCTATGTCTAAGTCTTCAAATTTCGCACCATTTTTAGTCACAATAGCAAACTTAACTGGTTCGATGTTCCAAACTTTGCTGAATGAAGACTTTTCAAAATGGTAGAAGTAAACATTCAAATATGTGAATGGGTCTAGTTCTTCTTTAAGTCCTGACATGTACTTGTTGACTGAGATGAATTTTGTCATCTTTTCTATCGGATAAAAAAAATATTTTTTTTAAAATTTACTCAGAAAAATTTTTCTTTGTATATACACCATTCTGTACGTCTAAAAGACTTTTGACATTTGCCAAGAATGTTCGTTTAGACGCTGGCATATAACCATACTCTTGACAATACTGTTTATACGAATCGTACAATGACCTTTCATCTAAACACTCAAAGTCAGTTTCATCTATGAACAGTTCATATACACTCTTGTTTGCTTCTAACAATGTTTGTCTCTCTTCGGTATGTGGACTTTGTCTTGGATTGAACTTAGAAATATCTAATGTCATGAAATATGAGAACAAGTGGTTGTAAAAGTCAGATGTCAAAGTTTCTGCTAAGTCGTCAAAATATTCTGTATCTTGCATATGAGAATCTGACGTTCTGACAACTACATATCTTCTGTCAGAACTTTCTAACTGCATCGGAACAGCATTGTTTGAAACCATAATGAAATTTGCAACATTTTCACAAACTCTTTGGTCTTTATATTTTCTTTCAACAACTCCAACTTTGTCTGTTATAAGACTCTTCAAAGCATCTGAGTTTAAAACCTTTGTTGTATCTATACTTTGAAGTTCGTTACATACTATAAGTTTCATATTCTCTATTGAAGAGTTAAATTTACCGCAGATGTTTTCTAAGTTTGTCATATTAGGGTTCGAATAGCCCTCTAACAGTTTGCATAAGATATCTGTAAAGAAAGTGTTCTTACCAGTTCCTTGTTTTCCAATTATAATGAGAGCAGTTTCATTTTTAGCACTTGGATGTTGTAAGATGTTTGCAAACCAACATAAGATATACTCATAGACTCTTTCGTTTCCATTGCATATAATTTCTTTGACATGGTCTAACCAAGCTTCTATAACATTTTCTTTCCATTCTACTTGTTCGTATTTATATCCAGTGAAGATAGAATAGAAGTTTGGAGATGGTGTATAGACTTTATACCACGAACTGAAAAATCTTCAAGTTTTGACAATAAGATATCCCAAGCATCTAACATCTTCATGCCAACTTGTACGACTTTTATTTTCTTAAGTTTCTGTTTACATTCTTGTTCTGAAACTATTGTCGCTCTTGGTTTGTTAAAGACAACATCCCATTCTTTCATAACATAACATTCTGGGCAGAGTCGACATAAATGACTAAACGTTTCAAATTCTCGACTGCTTTGTTATAGTCTCGAAATGGACACATATTTCTGAATGTTTGGAAGTCATAAAAATCTGAAACATCTATTCTGTACATTTTTATAAAAATAAAAAAAAATATTTTTTTATTCTTGACTTTGTTGTTGCATTTGTTCCATTTGTTGCATTTGTTGTTCTTGAGCTATTTGTTGTTGAAGTTGTTCTTGTAGTACAATACTTTCACCAGTTGCATCTTCCAATTCGAAACTTTCTGCCGTCATTGACAAATACATAGGACATAAAAGTTTTACAGGAACAAAGTTTGCGTCAACTAAGGTTAAGTTTATGTTTGCTAAAGTGTTTGAGTTTACTAAAGCTGAAAACTCTGCATTCGAATGAACAATAGGCAAACCAGCAGAGAAAGTGTTGTTTATACGCATAAGTATCTTTTGGTCATAGTAGTTTCTGTCGACATTCGAATAGCACTTTGAACCTAAGTTTGAAACAAGAAACAATAAGAATTACCGAAAAAGTGACAAAACATCAAAAACAGGGAGGGGGTCTCAATTTTTATTACTTATATTATTTTACAATATTTATATAAATACTCTTTATAATATATTTTACTATAAAATTATACCTCAAATTCAAATATTTAAAATATTATTTACATAATTATCTCAAAAATTATATTTTATATATTATTTTCATATGTATAAATCATATAATCTATATCTATGCAAATCTCATCTAAATTTTTTTGAAACAAACCGCTACCATTTTATAATGGTCCATCTTAAATTCATCATAAATTCTGGTACATGTTAGTACCAGAGTCTTCAAATCTCAAACACTCTGGTACCAACATGTACCAGACGCGAGTTTCCAATGCCCTCGTACGATTTTCTATTAAGATCTTCTTGAATGAGAAGGTCTTCATAGAAACTCGTACGAGGGCTTCTCTTTTAAATACTCTGGTACCTGCTGGTATCGGAGTCGACTTTACAGCCCTTTCCCCAATTTTGAAGCTGGGGAAAGTTTTCAAGCAATGAAAGGGAAGCTCTCGCTATGAGGTGAAAATCTAGAATTTTTACCTCATAGCGAGTAATCCTTTGTTAATTGCTTGAAAACTTTCTTCAAATTATCAAAATTTCGAGGAAAGTTTCCTTGCTTCAAAGTAGAGATGGAGCCCTTTGAGCCACTGCATATAGGTCAGTGACTCAAAATAATCCATCTCTACTAGAAATCGCCAAAATTTGGGTCGCAATCTTTGAAATGCGACGCAAGTTTGGGCAATTTCGCGAGGGACTTGCTCCATTTGGTGCATAGATTCACACTCTATGCCACCAGATGGAACAATTCTTTCGCTGACAGCGGGAAACTTTGTCTGAATAGTTTAACATTCAGACAAAGTTTCCCGCTGTCAGAGAGGGAATGGAAGGGTAAGAGGTATATATTCATAATGTATACCTCTTACTCTTCCATTCCCTCAAGAAAGTTCAAAAACTTGGGTGCAATCAGAACTGATTGCACCCAAGTTTTTGAACTTATATAAGGAATTGTTGGCTATGATGTACTGATTCATGATCAGTACATCATAGCCAACAATTCCTTCGCAAACAGTGGGAAACTTTGTCTGAATAGTTTAACATTCAGACAAAGTTTCCCGCTGTCAGGAGGGAATTAGAGGGTGGGAGATATATAGATAGACTATAAATCTCTCACCCTTTAATTCCCTCAAGAAAGTTCAAAAACTTGGGTGCAATCAGTTCTGATTGCACCCAATTTTTTGAATTTGTATAAGGAATTGTTGGCTATGATGTGGATAGCCGCTGCCAGACCAAATGAATTAACCGTTGTGAATAACGTTTCTGAATCTTTATTTAAAAAGATAAAATATCACGATTTTGGCTGCGTTAAAAATCAAAGAATTGATGTTTTTGTCAAAAATCTTTTAGAAGAAGTTGCACCCAATTACTTTTATCGTATTAAAACGATTTACTTCAAACAGGTTTTATTCCTTCAATTAGAATTCGCGAGCCTCGATTGACAGATTATAAAACAAAATTGAAAAGAGAAGTTCAATCACGTTTATACCAAGTATTAAATTTTGTTCAGAATCAAGAAGCCAATTTGAATCCATTAAGATTTTTATTGGAAAATGCTGAAGAAAAACTTTCTCAAATAAATGAGAAGATACAAAATTCAATTACATATTTAAGATCGTTTGAAATTCCAAATGAATTGTTAGATACGTATATGTTAGAAATTAATGAATTTTGTTATAATTCTCCAGATTATATTTTAGAACATTTCGAAGAATTTTTAGAGGATTTCAAAGAAAAGAATAATTTAATAGACTAAAAAATTTATTATTTTTATTTATTGTGAATTTTAAATTGTCACTTTTTAAGTGTTACTCCCTATTGAAAGTGTCACTTTTTGGGTGTCACTTTTTCGGAAATTCTTATATACTCGAGAAAGTGTTGTTTATACGCATAAGTATCTTTTGGTCATAGTAGTTTCTGTCGACATTCGAATAGCACTTTGAACCTAAGTTTGAAACAATATATAAAATAGGTGTACTTAAAGTCAATGGAACAGACATTCCTTGTATGACACCTTTTCCTGTTATAGGAAACTGTTGGTAGTAAAAACCAGATATAAGTTTTGTATTATAGCTCATATCGTTTAGAGTAAACTCAGTCGGACATCCAAACATAATGAAACCTGCTCTAGTTGCAGCACATGTTACACCCGTACTTAAAGTATTAAATAAGTCAACAAAACCTGTTGGTGGTATATCTGAGTAAGTATCTTCAAAGGAGTATTTTTTACCATTCACAACAACAAAGTCTTCTGGTGTCAAAAGAGCAAAACAGGCTTTAGTCGTCATTGTGTTTAAGGTTAGTTTACAATATCGTCCTTGAGGACTTTGTAAGTTTGTTGTTATAGAATTATATGACTCAGGGTTTTTAGTCGTAATAGTATAAACCACTATGTCTTCTGCCATTTACATATATTTAAAAGTTTTTCTGAAAGTGGAGAAGAACTTCATCTAAACTTTCACATGGCGTTTCTTGAAGTTCTCTGTCTAAGAAGTTCAAATATTTTGTAAAGACATAGAACTTTCCTTTGTCTACACGAACAAACAAAACAGGGTCTTTCATATCGTTCAAAAGTGTGTAAAGTCCTTTACATGAAATAAAGTCTATATTATTTTTCTTCAAACATCTTTCAAGAAGTTTTGCCATTTTTACTTAGCAAATAAACTTTAATGAAATGTTGTGGTCGTCAAATATTTTTATAACGTCTGGGAAACTATATTTTAAGTTCAACGTTTCACCTCCTTTCATAACGTATATCTTGTCAATGACATTATATGAAACACCACAGCAAGCAATGTCGGG